TCCTGAAGCATGGATGCCCACGATCAAAAAACACAACAACAGGATAGGAGAACAGTACAACAGCGGACCACTGAGGGAACAGCTACTCGTCGGAACAATAGAACAATAGGAGGATCGAAATGCACCAATCACAGCCGACCTTTGTGATATAAATGATACCGTGCAACAGTCGACCTTATCGCCTGAAGACGTCGCGATCTACATCTCAAGTGACTACATCGTGAGACAAACGATAATACACTTTATTATTGCATCTACCACGATGAATAACAACAACCTTTTCCTCGACAGAAAATACCAAATTTAACAACAGCAATGGCGCAAGCATTCCTTGTTCAGGACACGTCTACTACCGTCTAGAGACTACTTACGTAATATGATACACCATGTTCAAGGCAGCTAGGCCGCAAAAAATACCCTTTCTCCAGCGGTACGTCCTCGTATAGGCCATATGAGGCATTATCACACAACTGAGATAGTTGAGGGTTAAAGTAAATCAATCAAATTGCTCCATTGCCGTCCAGTATTCTCCAAGTGGTGTTACCACTCTTTTATGGCTGACTTTTCTAAATATTTAACTCATAGTAACAATTTCGTTTTTTCTTTATTTTTCAACGTTCTTTTATTCTCTTTATTGTGTAAACTTTAAGTTGGCTCTTAATCACAATTGCTAGGCTGAAGTTACCGATGTCTTTCCAGTCCGTGATTGTGGTATTTTTTTTTTTCACTTATCCGACATTTTCAACCCGGTGAAAAATCTCTTATTAACCAATCTTGCTCAGAACCATGTTGGGAGCACATCGACCCTTGGTCTCTTCTATGTGGAACTCGCTGAGCTCGTTCGCACTGTCAACTCGGGGGCTCTCTTGCAGTACACGGACCGCGCGAGTGGTTAATAACATACGTATTCCATGGTTGACAATACTGAACCTGTTGTGTTTATTTTTGTTGCAGGTTGGCTGCCATGAGTTGCTATCAGAAGAAAACAAATTTTCTCTCGCATGATAGATAATTTTTTAATCTCTTTTCCATTGTTTTTTCTTTTTCCGTAAAAGCGGTGTTACGTGTCAGCCTCTCGAGAATGAACACATGCCTCTGTTTGAACCTGAATTTTGAAAAGTTTTTTTAGACAACTTTTTTTAAAAGGGTGTTTCAGCACATTATTTTAAGAGCTTTTAAACAGTCGACAGTGTATAAACAGCTTTTGAACTTAATCATAACTTTTCCGTATGTTTACACTTCTGAGAAATGGTAACTAGACTACCTCTGAAGTATTCAGATGCATCAAAATTGTCAAAAGGAGTAATTGTTTTCTATTCATAGATGAAGGAGGGGTTATTCTGTAATTTAAAGTTCTAGGCAAGAGAGGGTAGGTTTATTAGAGCGGACAGATTAATAAAGAGAAGGTCTTAACGAAGGTTTTTCGGTATTTACTTAAGTTTTGACGACATGCACAAATATTTTAAAACTGTATGATTCAAAGGGCTTCATCGCCGTTTAGCAGCGCCGAGAAGTGACAGAAATAAAGGACGAAAAACGAAGCGTAACAGAATTTTCCTTGCCGTGATTCGAGGTTTTGAATAACGTGATAAACTGCATGTGTAATAAATCTTTTCTGATCATACAGTGATCCACGGTGCTATTATAAACCAATAAAATTTAGCCATTCAGTTAATGACCTGCCCACGCACTGTGTATGAATGACGAAGAGTCCAATATGAAAGTCTTTCCTGTTTCAAGTTTATATTTGGTTTTAAGTCGGCATGTGATCAATATATATTTTTTTTGTTTCGTCGAAAGTGCCGTGACTTCGCGGAGGTTGAACTTGATATATGGCTCACTTAAAATGGCGGCGTCAGCGCAGAGTAGCAGTTTAAAAGTGCTTTAAGTACTTCAACTCTGGCAATCAGATCATCATCAGTTTTTGTAAACAAGATCTCACCGAATGGCGCTTGACTCACCTAAAATGAGGAACTGAATTTTCTTATCGCAAAATACAGCTTCCTTGGCGCCAGAATAAAAGCAACGAAATCTTTGTTTGTACACTCGGTGAGTCGATTAGAGTTTGTCTTCAGAGCACTATCATATCTGACGTCATTAAAACAGTAAAATCTTAAACCACTATGCGTATTCTTTAAAGCTGTTTGACATGTCTAAAATACTAACACTGACCACGTTCATGCAAATTTTATTTCTTTTCCCAGAGTGTTTTCGTTTAAGACACAGCCTTTGAAATTTACGATGGCTCAGCTGCGTTTAAGTAAGCTCTTTGAATGGTACAAAGTTCATTCAACCTATTGTTAGATATCTATGTGGAGTAAGTGTTTTGTTGTTAAAAAGCTGAAGGAAATAAGAATATTTTAGAATAGTTTGCCATCAGTGTCAGTTAGAACTGAACGATTACGAAGTGCTAGCTTAGTGATTAGAACGTTGGCCGCCATTTTGAGCTGAGAGCGACAAGAAAATTCTGGTCTCTTCTCTGACTCACAAAATTCCCTTGCGTTCGACAAAAATTTCGATAAGAGAAACTCTCTGTCCTTAAAATTTATTCAATTGCCGTTATCCTACAATTAAAACAGTGTCTAAAGTCAATTTTGCTTTTAATGGAAGAAAAACACTATCCTGCTAACCAGTGCCGAAGTTTATAAATCGACTTGCCGTTTTCAAACAACTTAAACATTACTGTACACTGATAAATCACTATTCAGTATACAACCGTCCATGGTTAGCAGATTGCGTAATGTATATAATAATAATTCATTTCTACAGCGCCAATGCACTAATTGCCTAAGGCGTTAATGAAGCCTGGAGAGGTTTTATGGTAAAATGAAAGCTAATGAATATACGATGCAGGTAATCCATTTGCACAACATGTACGTGACAAAGACTGAATCAGTAAATATAAACCATGTTATTTAGTCGTCCATGTTTAAAAATTGAAGTGTCCCCTTATCAGCAGTTTTTGTGGCAGGTTTTAAGCTCCGTCTTGTTTTTGGTGCAATTTGGCAAGCGGTAGCCAAAAACAAAACAGACTGCAATTAACAATTTGACTTCTTTTAAAAAATGTTCCCTCAAGAGGTTCTCTATCTTTAAAATATAAAATAATTTCCTGTTCTCAGGGCGCAATAAAAGTTAAAAGTGGGCTGTTTCTTTCGGCTCATCCACACTTCATCAGCCACAATAAAATAAAACGTGACTGTAAAGAAGAGTTATATCATGTTCATTTGGGTCTCGAGGGGACTAAAACAGGGTTACAGATGCTCTCTGATTCGAAACCATTGTCTCTTCATTTTCAAAGAGGGCTTTCGTTAACGGATTTCAATTCCCTCCCTTGTGCCACGTTTGAACGTCGGTTGTGTCCTGGTGTACCGGTACACAGAGGGAATAACCATAACCGTTCTCCTTTCTTTACGAACCTTTGTTTAGCTGTTGAACATTGCTGGGTCTTTTGTATCAGTTCTTGTGAACCGGTACACGAGGACAGAACCTGAACGTCTTACTTTCTGTGGCGAGAACTTTTGTTTTGTTGGAATCCACTGAGTGTCGCTTGGACAGGCGATGTTCATGAATATCTGATAGATTTTTCAAAAAATGTTCCTTAACTCTGGTTTCTAATAAACGAGAAGTTTCTACTAGCTAATGAGAACCCCTTACAGAAGAGTATGTGTGTGTGCAGAGCCTTAATGTGGTTGAAAATAGAAATGGGTAAATTACCGTAGCGAGAGATTGCGTCCTCTTGTACACCACGCCCGTGAAGAGTCGTGCATGGAGCTAATGTTTCAATCAGCCCGCGGGTATGTACATACGAATGCAATGAGACAATTATTGTGCAGACTTCTTTGTTATTCTACAAAATCAGCGTTTCCATCTTAGCCGTAATGCATGAGTGATGACAGTGACCTCTTTCGCGCGCTCAAAATAACTAGACTGACCCGTGCGATATATGTGACAAATGGATTAACATCTTTTCAAGCCGGAGTAGTGTTGACTTTTACAAACGCCACATGTGAAAGTTGTCCAACCGTGTTTGTATATAAGATAAAGGTTGCACGTAAGGCCGGTGAATGGAATTAATACGTGAGAGCATTCTTCTGTTTCTATATTTGCTCAGCACTTGAACAAACAGTCATAAGACGAGAAAAATGAAAACGAAATAACTCACGCAGGGAACCGCGCTTACAAGACATTGAGACAATTCTTTCACCCGCTGGGATTTTGAGTAATTTTAGACGCTCTTTGTTCAGCACCGTTAATATTGTAGTCCTTCAGGTCTATGATCTAGAAGCTACGTTTATGCAAAATAATATTAAAAGTGGGAAGGTTTTCCGCATCACGTTTCTATATTAAACTCACGAGTCTTTCCATTCGTAACTGTATTGTTTATGAGTAAGCGGGCTAAGAAAAATAAGTTTATATCGCCCAATATCGTCTTACGCCTTTCAACACACTCCATGTCTGAAATGAAACTCTCGATCTTACAACTTACCGTGACAAAAAGCGGAAAGATCGAGCATTTAGCGCAGAATAGAAAATGAATAAAAACAATTTAACATAATTAGCTCTGCATGAAGGCGGCTCACGAAGAGCTGAACCCAACGAAAATGATTGAAACTTAATCCTTCGAACATTATGTAACCGAAAATTGTAACGTAAAAGAAAATAGGTACTTGCACAGATGTGCGATTATGGAATTAATGTCATGGAAAATGGCATTGAGTCCAGTCACAAATAAAAACTGATGCTTTGTTGTTTGATCAGCGACAAAAAAGCAGAAGTTATTAGTGACAGGAACCTGTAGCAGAACCTGTAGGCGATCTTAACATGCCATGTATTGTGTTGCCAGTTTTGAAATACATTTGAAAACTTAAATGACTGAATTTTACTTACCAAACGAATGGAGTTCGTGGAATTTCTTCGTTGAGACTCCTCCGCTAGCGCTTGTAAAGCCGTTAGATGTTCTGGATCTATTGTCGGTTCTGTAATCACTGGAAGCGCGCTTCGTCTTCGCGCCATTAAAATCATGAAGACCGCCGAGATCTCTGTCGAGAATTCTGCCCTTCAATTCAACCTTATAAGCTCTTCTCGTAGCAGTGTAGTAAGCGTTCCTCAAAGCACTCAAGGCCAAAAGGAATCCGGGTATTTTTAACTAACAGCTCGTAATCGAAGATACCCTGACCCTGTTTACATGTATCTGATTAAATCTGTCAGTGCTTTCACGCGTTTGAGTGACCAAGTGACGGTTCAACAGTTCCGCGGGTGGGCAGAAGATTCAACTCACGTAGTGCGTGCGCGGTTTCTGCACCTCTTTATACCTCACTTCCCGATTTTGTATTTCCGTCTATTTAACGAAGCATGTTCTTAATTGGAGTGGAAAACTAATAATTGGCCTCGTTTGAAGGATTTCGCAACTAATCGTTTTCTAATTACAAAGTTGGGTATAATGAAGACAATAAAGAAGTTCTTTTTTTGTCTCTTTCATTCCGCTTTTGTGCTTTGTAAACAGCGGTGGCTAAACAGAAAAGAATCATTCTCCGTATCCTGACGCCGGTTAATATAAAAGATCACAACAATACAAAATTAAATCAGGGCTGTGATAAATCTAATGAATTGTCTGAAAATGAATATTTTAGGGTTGTACTCTGATTTTTAGTAGAGCTGAGTCAGTCCTTGGCCTTGTATAAATTGAAACAGTTTTGTTTGAATAGTGTAACGACCTTTATTGGCAGAAGCGCATATTTTCGGTTTCAAACTGTTATAAAACCACTTAGCTTTTGGGTTTTTCACGTTAGAATGTTATCTCATAGCTATAGTGATTTGGTTAGTTCCACGCGTGGTTACGACGCGTTCTGCGAATGACTCCGCCCTCTACTTAATTAAGAAATTAATAAAGCACGAATAAGCATAGATGTGGAAGCAGAGTGCAAAAATAGCAATATGTAGAATGAAATGCCAATGAAATGAATTCATTCTTAAAGACAAGTTGACAGGGTGGGGTGGGAGAGTATGTCGTTGACGTAGTAGGAGGTAGAAGGTCAAGGTAAATGTTTCAGCGACCCATACAGATTGACTCACGTAAAGACACCGAAATGCAGTGAGATTATATTTTTCGGCTTTTTATTTAGTTTTTGTGGAGCAACGAATACGCAATTGCGTCAATGAAATGCGCCTCAGAGGGAATTTAAAAAGCAGGTCCAAGGCTTGGTACCATGATTCGATACAGGAGTCTCTCATGGAGAGAACTGTGAATTACATGCCTGGTGAAATAAAAAAAAAAAAACTTCTTCTTTCGAGGACCACAACCTGCGTTAGCAGTGAAAACCCCGGAATAGAAATTGACCTCGTGGAAATGTTAATTACAGTGCTAACAAGCCATATTTCTACTTTTTGTTGAAATATGCTTCCGGTGACGAGAAGTATCTTACAGAAACGATTGCATTATACCCCGAATCCAAACAACCGGTTAAAATTTCTCTGAATTCTCTACTCAACCCCCGAGGTTCGGTTTTTCAGCCGGTTTCAAAATCACAGTAACTCTCATTCCCTTCCCACGTCAAACGCAGCGATAGTTCCGGCGAGCGGTTTCATTAGTTCAATAAGATGACCCATCAGGCTAAATGCTCTACTTAGTGGTAGCCAAAAACATATTTTGACTGTTTATTTTGCATCAGTCTCTTGAGATTAGTTTAGTCTCTAAATATTTAATTAAGTACAATCAAAACAAGATTTATATTACTTATCTGATCAGGCTATCTATTTCCACATGACTGGGAGTCCAGGTCAGATTTCAATTTAGTTTCGGTAGCAGATCTGAACACGTACGACTCTCTGTTCAGCAACCCTAATCAGAAATTACACAATAATTTACGATTATTTGGGACATAAATGGCTTTCGGCTACATCCAATGAGGATGCTGTACGCTTGGGACACTTTGCGTGAGATGACAAAGTTAGTTTGTAGATCCCATATTTGACCAGTTGACCCCGAGTTATAATCAGTCGATTCAACTAAAAAGATAACTGTGCTGAGACTTTGTTGATATTGAACTTTTAACTCGTTGCCTGATTATCTCAAGTGCCGTCATCAAATACCACAAAGTCAAGGCTCAGGAGCCTGGCCTCTCTTGTTAGCAAAAAAAAGAAAGGTCCCTACTGGGATTATGAGATTGAAAGCTTTGCTAGGTAACACGGAAAAACCGTAGAATTCCGAAAATAACGCCCNCCCCCCTCCATCCCCCCGAAAGTATCGATCCGCCTGAAAGTAACGGCCCTTTGAAGAAGTCAAGGTTAAAAAAGAGAAACTCTCTGATGGCAAGCGCAATGCGGATAGAACAGCTTGACTGTAGGATTGACCAACTTGAAGAGATATATAGTGTATTTGCATTTTTACTTCGAACTTAACTGAATGTTTCTTGAAACTATGATTTTATAAGCTGTATTTGTCTGTCAACAGAGTCAAATGATCGAGTGTAATTAGTTTTATTGCGTTATAATGCGACGATTTTACTGTCACCTTACAGTAAAGTAAGTAATAGCTTTATCAATGTGTCAATGTATTTAGTTTTCACAACTTATTGGGGACATAACAACAACAACAAAAAATTAAAATTATTTACACATAAGGAATAAGAATAAAAATGTATATACAATTAAAATATGTAGCATGTACGTATAAATTGTACCATAAAACAATGGGTATATAAGAGGTAGTCTCTAAAAATTGAAAAGGTTACAGCAGCTATTGTTGTTGTTTAAGAGTGACGTTAGGTCTTTTAGTACCAACACTTGGAGTATCTTTTGTTTATACAGTCTGTTTTGTTATATGTGGGTTGTTAGTAACACAAATAAACGGAACTTTTTGTTTCATGATACGCGTCCGCTTTGTCAGAAACGACTGTGAACAACTACCGTACAAGCGTTTTTTAACCATCTCAAAGTAACGGTTACCCGAAAGTAGCGGCCCCTTTTGCCTGCTAAATCCGAAAGTTACGGGGGCCGTTACTTTCGGAATTCTACGGTACCTGAACGTTTTTTTTTTTTTTTTCATTTCAAGCAAATTTGCTCTAAAAGTTTTGGCAACGCTTTCATTGAGGATGTATGCAGAAATTACTTCTGACTGTCTGTCTGTCTGTCTCTGTCAGCCTTTCGACGAACAAAAAAGTAATTTGAATATATATTCAATAAAGGAATATCATAAATAACTCGGTAAGATGTGGTCGCATGGAGAAGTACACAGTGACAGGCCGCACCTCCTTGAAATAGGCTGATTTAGCAAGAGAACGGGAACGTCACTTAACGACGGCGCGCGCAGTACAAATACCCAAATATGGTCAAATTAGAACAGAATCTAGGTTATTCCGCGCGCCCTGCAGTCGTCATCTGACCATATTTGGGTATTTGTACTGCGCGCGCCGTCGTCAAGTGACGTTCCCGTTCTCTTGCTAAATCAGCCTACTATCTAGCGTAAAACTTTGTACGATCTTGTACTACAATGCAGAATTTTCAAGATACATAAGATTCTTAGTCTCTCTTGGCATTCATTTTGTAGATCCGCGTTCCTTATCGCACATAGTAACAACGTAACACCCAATAACGGCTAGAAGTCGAGCTTAAAGGATTATAGACGACCCGCTACGTAAATCAGTGTCACTTTTTTCGCTTCAAATATCCTTTATATTATTCACCACTTGTGGGATTTCAGAAACTCAGTCCACTGAGAACGCTCTTTGCGAGAAAGTGTAAATGGTGTGTTAATCCCAACAAATTGAAATTACTTGATCGAGATTCGTCGCCAGGACCTGTCACTCGGCTTTCAAAATTTAGTTAGAAACTCATTCGAGAACGTAACTACCACTGTCAAATGCAAGGCAACATATCTTCTTCTTCGACCATGACCCCATGTGGGTATAGGGCCAGACATTCTCCTTCGCTATGTCAGACGGTCACGAGCAGCCACTGTTGCCTCGCTCTATGAGCCAAAACCCAATGCTGTTCTTTCTTTTTCTGCGGTTCTCCGCCAAGTCTCTTTCGGACTGCCACGACTTCTTCTTCCCTCTGGGACGCAAGGCAACATATACCGGGCAAAAAATGGGGAAAATGGAACAAAGTTGTGGGTATACCTTGTTCAACTGTCTTAACGTGCGGAGAAACTGAAGAGTGGGAAGGAGGCGACAAGCCTTTAACCGCCACGCGCTAAATTCAGCAGATGAATGCCTTGCTTGGCAACTCTGGCCCAGTCATTTGTTTAGAGAAATGTTTAAAAGCGTCAGCGCAGCTACACGAAGATCTGTTTCCATCTTTCTAAGAACGCTTTAACACGTGTATGTACGACTGTTTTAACTTTAATAACAATAAAGTGTATTATCGTATGTCTCACGATGTAGTCGATCGTCACAGCAGTCACTTGAGATGTAGATCGCGACTTTTCGACTGCTTACTGCTAGCCTTCTTCAGGCGATGAGGTCGACCGATTACACGGTATCATTTATATCACGAAGGTCGGCTGTGATTGGTGCATTTCGATTCTCCCATTGTTCCATTTGTTCCAGAGACTAGCTTTCTCTAGTGGAGGTGAGCGCTTTAGGAAAATTATGTACTCGTTCAAATTTTAACTTGTATTTGTCTGGATTTATAAAAACAGTACCCTAGTGTTAAAGAAATCGCGTCCTGGTCAAGCGTTTCTTTCTCTCCAAAGGAGACAATGTAAAAATGAAAAGGAATACCAGTCTTTTTTTTCTTCCACTCTCTTATCTTCCCTTTCTTGCTTTCCTCTCTCTATGTTGTTTGTTGTTGTTGTTGTTGTTGTTGTTGTTGTTGTTGTTGTTGTTGTTGTTGTGTAATCGCTTGGAGTGATTTTAAGGCCTTTAGGAGTCGCGGAATCAAAGTGCATATGGGTGACGTGGTGCAAAGTATTGACACGGTTTTCATAAATCAGGTCACATATATAGACGACAGAAACTACCATAGTACTGAAACCAGGAGACTGACTGACTGAAACTATGGTAACGAAACACAGGACTCCTAGTCTAAACGAAAAGTCTATCGACTTTTATTTTTAAATTGACGCCGGTCCGGCACTTCAGCAAAATGGACATTTGGGCGTAAGTCCCGGCCACAGACAAACACTGCGTTTATGTCCCTATAAAAGAGCACCTTCCCGTTTAGTGGGCACTGTATCGAGGTCCTAAGGAAAGGAAATTGGATACTCTTTTGACGGTTAAGTAGCTTTAAAATTTCCGTTCAAGTGAATTTTGAATTATACTGAAAAGTGAAAAAAAATTTAATATTTAACTGAGAACGCAAAAACATCATGCAGCAAATACGGCCGACATAAAGGCTTTGTTTTTTTCTGCTTTTCTACTTCAACACTTGAACTTTCAAGATTTTTTATCTAAAATTCGCGTTCAACGAGGTTTCCTTGAAGATCCGCGAAACCATTGATTTTGAAACTGAGAACTTTTATTCATACAGCATTTCTTTAGTAATGTCTTGGGTCATCGGGTAGCTTCTGTTACACATAAACTATTCTTCCGCTCAATAACCACTGTTTAAATTTACTTGCATAGGAAATTAAACGAAAAGTGTCAAGTATAGAACAAGGCGAAAGGGAACAAAGTTTACTTTTCGACCAAAAGCAAACATTGATAAGCGATTTCTATTTGGGTCGCGAACACTTTCCATTTTAACTGTCCATCGTGGCTTTTACACAGTCCAGTGCTTTTGCTAATTGGGTCAGAGGGTAGAGTTTTCGGTTTCACTAAAATTATCTCGATGTTTTAAACTGTCAGGTCTTGAAGCGAAAAGGAAGTACGATTTATCACTTGTGAAAAATCATCAAAGCATTGAAATGGTTTCAAGTCGTAGAAAGGATTTTTCAATGTCAATGGTCAGCAATCTTACCAGAAATCAGAGCAGTCACTGAACAAACAAGTTTAACAAACATCCAAAAATGAAATTGGTTGTACACTACAAAATCAAGGTTAAAAAGCTTTCGTTGTACCTGTGTTAACAAGTAGCTTTTTTTTTCTCCACTCTACAAGCAGATCGTTGAGAAAGTTTAAGCCACCCGAAATCCCCCAGAATCTTGGATAATTGAGTTGAACGTTCGGCAACCGAATGTATTTCCTTCACCTTTTGTGGCGTTTGCTTTAATTAGAAGGGTTTTGTGCGTCAATTTAAAAGTTTTAATGAAAAAGTTTAACTATAGGAAGCGAATTAGCAGCTGCTTGTATAGCGCGGGTTAGTCTGAGGTAAAGCTCGATAATGAATTTGACTTTGATGAAAAACAAAATTATAACAAATCATTAAAAACCATGTTGGAATCGACCCGTTAACAAGAGAGGCGGGAAGCGAAACGGCTGGGGAACTTGTTGGAGAGAAAAAACTTAGATCCTTTTTTTCACTGACGCTTGTTCTATTCTACAAAGTAAGATTAAAATGCAGCTTTTTGAAAAAAAGAGATTTGAAAACTTGTCTTACCTATTTAACGTTTTGTTTGAACAGTAAGAATATTGGGAAAAAGTGTAACATTATTACAGTAAAACCCCACCATTGTCTGCGAATTAAACAACCATGCCGTCTAACCAATGGCGAATCAATTTATCGGCGAATTATTTACTTAATATTTTGTGTTTCAAACTGGTGTTAGATTAGCTAACTGGAGCACTTCTTTTGGCCCTGTAAAATACCTGTCAATTCCTTGTAAAAATATCGCACTCTGAATCCATGCAAAGAAACACGAGAGGCAAAAAGCTTGAGATTCTGAAATCAAATCTCGGTGCTTAGGCTGACAGAGTTGTCAAGCGCAAGTCAACTTAGTCACCGAGGAAATTGCAAGCTTTTAAGATGTTAATTCAGCGTATCCGGCAATATCGCTTGTTTGATTTGTAGAAAGCGTGAGATGAGGGTGTTTTTCAAACAGTTATTAATACGCATCGCAGGTGGAAATTTACAGGGATTGTTAAAAAAGCCACTGCGATGTTAGGACGTGTTTGTTTTTGCGGACTCGATCCACTCGGTAACAGCAGGTAGTGATTCTCGATAACAGTCAAAAAGTTAATTCGTCCTCACTGGTGAGTAGTTCTCTGTTTTGCTCTTTCTTTTGCCTGCTTATTATCAGTGTGATTTTTACGGTCACAACCGAACTAGATATCACAAGAGTGCATGAAGATAGCGCGACATTATAGCCACCTGAAACGAAACTGATATCTCTTTGAAAGCTGTTGTCGTTAAGATATGTAATCCCTTGTTTAGTTTCTTCTCTTGGTGAAATTTAAATACAATTTTACGGGATCATCTTTTGAGCTGAAATTAATTCAGATTTTCTTCTTTGGTCAAAATGAAAGGGTAAAACATCGTTGACCCCACTCGCTAAAAATAAATTACATGGCGAAATTCACTTGCTACTTTATAAAAAGTAAATCATTTCTTTCCTGATTGCGAAAAATAAACGTTTGTATGGATACCAGATTTTATCTGCTTTTACGATCTTGTTGTTTCTAGCACTATGATTTTAAATCTTAGAAGTTGTAACGCGACCGTTTCAACCTTCTTCTGGACGTTTTGTTCTGTGAACATGCTGAACGTGTTAATTCTCACTTAAGGAACAAAAAAGAAAATAGATGATCCTGGATGAAGGTGTTGGATTTTTCTCCAAAAAAAAATTAAATAAAATCTATCAATTTTCGTCACCTTCTACTGAGAAGAAAAAGATCTTTCAGCCATCCTTCGAAAACCTTTTCAGGAAATTCGATTTCGAAGTCAGCGGGGCCAGTATACGTCCCATATACCATTAATGTGAAATTGATTCAACAAATGCTGACAACAGACTTGAAACATTAATATACAAACTAATAGAACCGACTCTCCTGTGTTAAAGATAAAATACTCCGAAAAGTTCAAACGCTCATTAAAGTCGTCGAGAACATAGAAATGTAATTTCCTTGTTTATAAATTTGTTACATTTTCCCCTCTCATTCGAATATTCGGTAGACATGACACTTAACTCCCAAACTGCCTCTCTGCTTCAATTTTCTTTTTAACTGGGCAAGAGCAAATTTTCGGAGCAGCGCGCCGAAAAAAGGTTGTAGATACGTAGCGTACAGCAGACTAGAATACAATCCGAAGAAGAGAAGCTGTACTCCTAACCACTTCATGTTGCGGAAACCAGAATTTGTTTCCGGTACTGAAGATTCGAACAAAGTCTGTTCATTTTAAATCTTTATCTTTTTCCTCAAAAAACAACAACAAAAAAAGAAACAATATATAGTAGAAGTTTGGTTTCACTAGCGATTGTAGAATAAACAAAGCTTAAACTAAAGACTTAGGAGGACAAAACTGACGTGACTGAAGCTAAGCATGAAAGCGCAAGTGAGAGCAAAGGAAGATCTCTGTGTCCTGACGCGGAATCATGGCCGCATAAGTGTGCGTATATTAGGGATGTTGGTTAAAGACAGCACTCACGTTGTGCTGTATAACGAAAAAGAGGTGGTCTCTTCTTACTCTTCCTCGGCCTTCTTACTCTATAAGGACTGACAATAGCGCCCGCTGCTGATCTGAAGAGCTAAAAACTGACAAACAACATTCAAACCTCTCTGTGTTGTTTAGAAAGCAGTCAAAGCTTCATGCAAACAAAATATCAATGTCTTATCTCAGAGTTTTAGATCGGTAAATTTTTTTCACGTTCTTAACCCTGCTACTCGCTATTGCTTATCTCAGAGTTTTAGATCGGTAAATTTTTTTCACGTTCCTCTCCCTGTATTATGTCTTTGTCCCTGCTACTCGCTATTGCTACGTTTTTGCTTCTATACATACTTTTTCCGTTGTGAAAACCAAGTTAAAGATATCCATACAGATCGGGGGAGCAAAGAAATTGACTACAAAGATAAAATTCTTGTTGACCAGTGCTATAAACAAGGAGGCCTAGTAGCGGTTATCGGCATACGGGATATCGAGTTTAAAAATGAACGGGATACAAGATATTTGTGGAAAAAAATTAATAGGATATATATGGGATATTTAGATCAGATAAAATGGGATATAGGGTGGGAAAATCGTTGATTTTTGCATCTGGAATCAATGAGATACGGGATATTAAGGTTACAGTATACCTTCGGGTCGGCAATTTTCTTCAAATTTGGATTTTTGGGTCAAAATAGTGGTCGAAGAATAATCTCTTATTTCAGAAAAAAATTTTTGAAAAAGGCTTAATATTGGCGGAGAAATGACGGTTTTACGTTTTCACCGGAAGTAAAAGTTTACCTCTTGATTGACAGCCCTATGG